CCTGAGGAACCTCCCAACTCCGAATGCACGCCCGTCTCTGTTCCCAACGCTCTTGGCCCTGGTGGCGCCATGCCTGCCCGCTGCTCATCAGCCATCAACTTAGTCTGGCTTCCAGGCCACTGCTGCTGCGTCAGGATGACCCCCGTTGGTCCAGAGCCTGTCCAGGGCCTTGGATTAGGAAGACTGAGAAGAGGCCATGTTTTGGGCCTGGAGTTGCACAGACATGAGGATGGCGCTGGTGGCCTGCTTGGTATCCGGCTGCAGCTTCAGCGCCCTGTTCTCTGGCCCCCAGACCCTGAGTTCCTCCCCTCCTAGAATGCAGCGCTCACATGACTGAGGACTGGGCCTGTGTAGGCTGCGGCCACCATCACCGCGGGTCTCACCGTGCAAAGCAAAACTTGCATTGATTTCATTTATTTGAAAGGCAGAGAGACAGAGCTCTCCCTCCACTGGTTCATTCCTCAGATGCCCCAACCACCATCCTGTGGTCAAGGCTTAGGCCAGGCTGAAGCTAGGATCCAAGAACTCCATCTGGGTCTCACAGCTGCATAGCAGGGATCCAAGTACTGGAGCCATCACCTGTTCCCTCCCAGGTGTACATTAGCAGGAAGCAGAGGAGCCGGGCGTTCCCATATGAGGTTCAAGTATCCCAAGCAGTGTCAACCACTGCTCCAAATGCCCACCCCTCACAATGGAAAATAAAGCCGTGCGTCTCTGCGGCTGCTCTGCAGGGGAACGCTTCATAGGCCAGGGCCCCACCCTCACCCTTGCCACAGTCCTTGTGGGGCCTGTCCTGCTGACACGGACTCACAGACCTGCAGGAGCAGCTGGGGGTTCCACAGATCCCCTCTGGAAACAGGAATGACCCAGTACATAAGGTCATGATCCCCGTGAAACTCCAACGATGGATGAAGTAGGACAAGGCAGGATGGCCGGTGGTACCACTCCCTTAATGGCAAGGCCTCCTGTGCGCCTGGCTGAATTCTCACCCTGCCTCTTTCTACTTTTATCTTGACCTGGTACGTAGATTTATTGTCTTCCCTCCACCAGTAGTTACGTTTTTGCTCCTGCTGTATCCCTGGTGCCTAGAAAGATGCCACATGTTTGGCAGATGGTCAGTGATTGCCAGATAAACAAATGTCTGTATGAACCATCAGTCTTTGTGTTGTGCACGTTGCACACGTAACTATATTCTGGACAGATTTAATTCTATGACAGCCCCTGAGGATGGCATTGCTGTCTGCATCTTACATATGAAGACTGAGGTTTGGGGAGGGCTGATTTGGTCAAAGTAACACAGTCACGAGTGTACCCAAGAATCTTAGTTTTCTGTACTCAAAAATTGGAGCAGGGGTGAGTGTTGTGGCATAGTGGGTTAAGCCGCTACTTGGGATGCCCGCATCCCATATCAGAGCGCCTGGTCTGAGTCCCAGCTGCTCTGCTGCATGTCTGCTTCATGTCTGCTGGGAAGGCAGCAGATGGTGACCCGAGCACTTGAGTCTCTGCCACCCGTGTGAGAGACCCAGATGTTGTTCTGAGCTCCTGGACAGGTCCAGGTATTGCAGGCATTTGGGGAGTGAATCAGCAGAGGGAAGATCTCTCCCTCAGTGTCACTCTGCCTTTCAAATTAATAATTAATCTTTAAAAAATAAGAAAAATGAAATCTGGGGAAGTCCTGTTGATTAGCAGCCCTCATCCCCTTCATCTGTGTTGAGTCCAGACCTGCCCCACTTCAGATCCTGGGATGCAGAGACTCAAACCAGGAGCAGGGCACTCGGGACAGCCACACCCCATGTCAGAGTGCCTAGTTTGAGTCCTAGCTACTCTGGTTCCAATCCAGTGTCCTGCTGATGTGCACCCTGGGAGGCAGCAGTGATGGCTCCAGCACTTGGGTCCCTGCCACCTTTGTTGGAGACCCAGATTGAATTCTGGGCTCCTGGGTTTGGCCTGGCACAGCCCTGGCTGTTGCAGGAATTTAGGGAATGAAAGTGCATGCTAGCAATCTCTCTCTTATCGGTCTCTGTTTCTGTGTGTGTCTCAGCCTTTCAAATAAAATGAAAGAAAAAGAAAATACCCAAACAGACTCTGCTTCCGGCTGAGATCTTGTTTCAGGCAGAAAGGTGAGAAAGCTGCCTTCACCCAGCCCTCTAATGAATCAGGGCTAAGCAGAGTACCCAGAGCTGACGAGCTGCCTCTACTTTCCGATGTTTCTCAACACAGAGTCTGCCCTTGAGATGATTATAACATTGTTTTGCAGGTCAGAGCTAAATGTTTGAAAAGTAATCTACTGAAGAAACAAAGGGAGCAGTTTGTAGAATCTTGGAGTGGAGGAGGCCTTCTGAGTATGTCACCAAAGCCAGACAACATGACAGACAAGATCAGGAGCAGGTTTGGGCCTAGAGGTTGAGACCTGGTTGGGACCCCCACACCCATATCAGAGTGCCGGGTTTGAGTCCTGATCCCAGCTTCCTGAGAATGCGCACCCGGGAGGCGGCAGGTGATGCCTCCAGTGGTTGGGTCTCCATCACCCATGTGGGAGACCAGGAATGAGCTCCTGGCTCCTGGCTCCTGGCTCCTGGCTCCTGGCTCCCACCTCCAGGCTTTCACTGGGCCCAGACCCAGCCATTGGGAATATCTGGGGAGTGAGCCAACACATGGGAGCTCTTTCTTTCTCTGTCTCTTAAGTAATTTAAATAAATAAAAGAGGAATAAATTCATTTTACATTAAAAAATAAAATATATGATAAAATACACCATCATAGCCAAAACACAAGCAATTAACTTGTTATAAACCACATACTTACAACTAGTTTCAAAGTAAAGAACTAATGTCCTTTTGTATGTAGATTTCATAAATCAAACAAAGAGATCGATGTGATAGGTTCAGATTAAGCTACTACTTGGTTCTCTCTCATCCCATACGGGGCACCTCGTTCGAGTCCCAGTTACTGTGTTTCTAACCCAGCTTCTTGCTAATGTATACCCTGGGAGGCAGCAGATGATGGCTTAAGTACTTGGGTACCCTGCTACCCATTGTGGGAGACCCAGCTTTGGAGTTCCAGGCTCCTGGCTTTGGCCTTGCCCAGCCTTGGCTGTTGCAGGCAGTGGAAGACCTCTCTGTCTCTGTCTTTCCCTATGCCTTTTTGTTTGTTTGTTTTTTTTGGACAGGCAGAGTGGACAGTGAGAGAGAGAGATAGAAAGGTCTTCCTTTTCTGTTGATTCACCACCACCACCACCCGCAATGGCCGCTGCAGCTGGTGTACCACGCTGATCCGAAGCCAGGAGCCAGGTGCTTCTCCTGGTCTCCCATGCGGGTGCAGGGCCCAAGCACTTGGGCCATCCTCCACTGCACTCCCGGGCCACAGCAGAGAGCTGGCCTGGAAGAGGGGCAACTGGGACTAGAACCTGGGGTGCCGGCGCCACAGGCGGAGGATTAGCCTAGTGAGCCATGGCGCCGGCCTACTTTGCCTTTCAAATATATAGAAATAAATAAATTTTAAGAAAAAGGCTAATGGCCCAGAAGAAAAGTAGGCAGAGGACACAATGAGACTGAGCTACAGAAAAAGGCACACAGATAATGTCTCACAGACCTATGCAAAGGTGCTTGTCCTTACTGAGAAGCGGAAATTAAACTAGCTGTGTGGGTTCACTGTTTCTTCCCATTTCAGACTGAAAGCCTTATGGCGGTGAGGAGGTGCCCCCACAGACAGAGCTGAGCCTGCCCACCTTGGATCCCTGGTCCATTTCTGCCCCAGTGACAGTTGGCCCAGGTCTCCTTTGGGAAACGTCCACTGGCTTTGTCAGCAGCTGGATCGAGCACCCCCCCCAGGACTTCTCTCCTCACTGCACAGCGGCTCAGTGTGTGGGTGCCCACGTGGTTCAGCTCCCGAGGGTCCTGGCACTCGCAGTAGGTCCAGTCAGTTAGCCCCCAGGCTGTTCTGGAACTGGCGTGAGGGCGGGTGGCTGAGGCAGCTCCCTCCTTGGGTGGGAGGAACTCCCAGTGGGGCAGGCTGGCTGCTTGGAGGAAGTGGGGCTACTAACAAGTGCCCGAGCTTGGCAAGAGCAGTGAGGGTGAGGACTCTTCACACAGCTGTCCCGGGGGGGTTCTGGGCGGTGGGGGCTTGGGGGCTTTGAGCTGGCAAGCCCTGGCTTCCTGGAGGAGGAAAGGGGAAGAGAAATCCGCTGTGGGAGGGGGTTCGAGTCAGCCACACTGTCATAATGGAACAGCACAGCCCTGGGTGTCAGGAAACTTCCCCTCCTGGGGCCTTGAGACTCCTCCTCCCTTGGTGAACTGCAGCCCCAGCCCTGGGGGAAGGGGAGTGGACTCCAGCGACCGAGGGTGACAGAGTGCCCTGATGACACGCAGATCTGAAGGGGGACCCTGTCACTGACCCCAGGGTGACAGCCAGCCAGGGGTTAAGAGGCTACAACTTCTTGCCTCCAGCCCAGATTAAAGTCTCACTTCTCTCAGCTGCTGGTCGGAATGCTGACCAGCAGGAGCCATTGGGGACCACGGATCCCTCTCTGGGTTCCCATAGATTCCTCTTGTCCCCAGTCACCTTCTAGGGAGGATACAGTGTCGGACATCTGGACTGGAGGGGCAGCCCTTCGGGCGACTGGCCCTTCCGGGGAGCAGCCCCGCAGGATGGGGAAGGCGGGGGCACGAGGCAGCCTGAGGGAACGCTCTGTTCTGAGTCACTCTCACTGTGTCCCCCCACACCTTCAAGGACATCCCGTCCCCATCTCCCCTTGCGAAAGGCCCCTGCCCAGCAGGAGGCCGCTGGCGGCTGTGCGGCGGACAGCTCCGAAGGACCCTCCGCGGCCCGGTTGACATCCCCTCTCAAAGGTCAGTGCCCACAATGTGCTGGGGTCCGCGCAGCCCTGCCCAGGGAGGCGGGTGACGCAGGCCGGCGACTCCGCCCACTAGGCCTCCAGTTTTCTCTCCAGTCAATCGGCTCCCCGGGCCCGACGGCACAGGGGCCGCGCGCACTCCGGGCCCCGCCCCCGGCCCGCTTCCTCCTCCTCCCAGGGGCGGCTGGCGGCCGGCGGTGTCCGGCCCAGCCCCGGCCCCGCGCTGCGCGGGCAGCCCCCTGCCGCCGCGCCATGTCCGCCGGCTGGTTCCGGCGCCGCTTCCTGCCGGGGGATCCGCTCCCCGCGCCGCGGCCGCCTGGGCCCCGCGCCAGCCCCGTGCCCTACCGGCGGCCTCGCTTCCTGCGAGGCTCGGGCTCCGCCGCGGCCGACGCCTCGCGCCGCACCGACGCCCGGCCCGTACGCTGCCCGGCGCGGGGCCGCACGCTGCCCTGGAACGCAGGCTACGCCGAGTGAGTGCTCCCACCCCGGAGACCCCCACCCCTCGGCCCCCTCTACCCCGCGACCCCGGCCTGAGCCAGCCTGGACCGCAGGCTGAGCTGAGGCACCTGCGAATCGTGCCTTCGCGTCTGCACCTCGCGACCCTCACAGCCACCCCCTGATCCCACCCCAGCCTTTTTCTGGGAGGAGACTGGAGGTGGGGAAGGACCTGCACCCTAGGGCCTTCAGTTGAGAGCAGAGCTCCATGCTTCCAGCGGCTTCATAGATCCACTCTCCCTCGCCCCCACGCCTCTCACCTGCATTATGGCCTAGGCTGTATGGGGCAGGGGATGGGAAGGGGAACCCCAGATACGCTGGGGTCAGCAGGTTGGCTGCAGAGGGGCTGAGCCGGCAGACCGTCACCTTGGTGGTGAGGCCTCCGAAGTTAGGAAACTTACATCCTGGTTGTCCAGCTGTGTCAGGGACAGCACCAGGGAGCCCTTGGCCCAGAGAGACATAGATGCCCGGGGGACATAGGTACCTCCCCGAGGGGTCACTCAGCACTTCCTGGCCTCAGGATCATCAACGCAGAGAAGTCGGAGTTCAATGAGGATCAGGCCGCCTGTGGGAAGCTGTGCATCAGGCGGTGTGAGTTTGGGGCTGAAGAGGACCGGGAGTGGCTGAGCCTGTGCCCAGAGGAGGTGAGAGCTGCCGGGCCTGGGCCTCCTCCCAGGCTTCCCCCAGAATACGTAGGCTGAGGCTCTTGCCCTTCTGACCCAGTTCAGGCTGGGCGAGGGGACGATTGGGGAAGCCGAGCCGAGCCTGACGCCAGGCCCTTCCCGTGCAGTTCCTGACGGGTCACTACTGGGCACTCTTTGATGGGCACGGTGGCCCAGCTGCAGCCATCCTGGCTGCCAACACCCTGCACTCGTGCCTGCGCCGGCAGCTGGAGGCCGTGGTAGAAGGCATAGTGGCCACTCAGCCCCCTATGCACCTCAGTGGCCGCTGCATCTGCCCCAGTGACCCCCAGTTTGTGGAGGAAAAGGACATCAAGGCCGAAGACTTGGTGGTCGGGGCCCTGGAGAGCGCCTTCCAGGAGTGTGTGAGTGTGGCCTCTGGCTGGGGAAGGAGGGCCGGTTTTGTCCCCAGGGACCTGAAGGAGTAGGCCGCGGTGCGCACCGTGGCGACCATCACAGATCCTTGGACTGGGAGGACGAGATGTGTGGGTTTGTTCGTTACTAACGTCCATTACTGTCATCCTGACCCCTCTCGCTCAGCGCCTACTGTGTGCAGAGTGCTTTTACCCCCATCATCATTGCACAGCCTGTGGTCTTTGGTGCAGGGGCTGGTTTCTCTTCCTGTTTTGAGTCGCAGTTCCCTTGTCTAGATCTCCTGGCCACAGGGATCCTGGAGCCATGACTGGACTCTGGGTTGGGACTGCCAGGCGTGAACTGTCGGGTGGGGCGAAGTGGTATGGAGCCAGCACTGGCAGGCACTGAGGCCGACTTGCTTTGCTCCAGGATGAGGTGATTGGGCGAGAGCTGGAGGCCTCAGGCCAGGAGGGTGGCTGCACAGCGCTGGTGGCTGTGTCCCTGCAGGGCAAGTTGTATGTGGCCAATGCTGGGGACAGCAGGTGAGTGAACCTTTGGAGGGTGGGCAGCAGGGCACCAGAGGCAGCGGGGACACTGCAAAGCGGCTGGAAGTCGAGGGATGGAAGTCGAGGGAGGGTTGAGGTGCTGGGTTGTGTTTGATGCTGGTGGACGTCAAGTGTGTGGGGGGACAGTGGGAACCAGGGGGGGCAGAGCCTTTAAGGGCCATGCTGAAGGCATGAGCCTGGACCAGGTGGGTGCTTGGCAGTCATGGCAGGAGGTGGCCATGGGTGAACGCGGAGGCTGCCCGATAGGCTTCCGCTGCCTCCCCTCAACCCCGCCCAGGGCCATCTTGGTGCGGCGAGATGAGGTTCGGCCACTGAGCTCCGAGTTCACTCCGGAGACTGAGCGGCAGCGGATCCAGCAGCTGGTAGGTGCGCTTGGCAGGGGAAGGCTGTGGAGCCCTGGCTCCTGGGTCTGAGGCCATACAGGGTCACGGGAGGGAGCCTGACCCAAGCACGGCCTCCCACCTCAGGCCTTTGTCTGCCCTGAGCTTCTGGCGGGTGAGTTCACCAGACTGGAGTTCCCTCGGCGACTGAAAGGGGATGACTTGGGGCAGAAGGTTTTGTTCCGGGATCACCACATGAGCGGCTGGTGAGCAGGGTCGGGTGGAAGGACATGGTGGAGAGATCCCTGGGGTCTAAGCCCAGCTGTGCGCCCGGGGCAATCTCCTTCCATCGGGCAGGGTGGGTGCTCTAAGGGTGTGGTGGCTGGGCCCTGAGATGGGAGCATGGGACCTGGGTGGATGCTGCATCTGTTCCCGGTAGGAGCTACAAACGCGTGGAGAAGGCGGATCTCAAGTACCCACTGATCCACGGACAGGGTAGGCAGGTCAGTGCCCGAACCCCTCCAAGAATTCCTCAGTTGCCCCCTGGCAGCTGTGGGAGCTCTCCTACTGGTGGCTGTGGCTGGTGTCCTGGGCCAGGGTCCAAGGGCCATGGTCCACCCATGCTCTGCAGTGCTAGCCTGCACTGGGGCATTTTGCTGGAGCTGTTTGCTGTCACCTAATACCTTCCTTGCCCCCAGGCTCGGTTACTGGGCACGCTGGCTGTCTCCCGGGGCCTAGGAGACCATCAGCTCAGAGTCCTGGACACGAACATCCACCTCAAGCCCTTCTTGCTCTCCGTCCCACAGGTAAGGGGGCCACATAGTCCGTTCTACCTTCCATCTACCCAGGAAGGCAGGCAGTGAGGCTGATGGGAGCCAGGAAGGGGGCGCTGAAGGATCCTCAGGCTTAACTTGCAGGTAACTGTGCTGAATATGGACCAGCTGGAGCTACAGGAGGAGGATGTGATTGTCATGGCAACTGATGGGCTCTGGGATGTCCTGTCTAATGAGCAGGTGGCACGGCTGGTGAGGAGCTTCCTTCCTGGAAACCATGAAGACCCACACAGGTACCATATTCCCAGGACCTGCCTTGGCTTGGGCCAGTGCCAGCAACAACACCAAGCAGTTAGGGCTGTGAACACTCTAGAAATAATGGGCCTGATTGGTGGCCAGGACCAGGCCTGTCTCAAGCTTCTGGGGTGGTGGCAGGGTGGTGTGTGTGTATGTGAGTGAGACTGGGTTTCCCAAAATTCCCACAGTCCTCCCAGGATTGTCAGATCCCCAGGTGTCCAGTTCTGTGCAGTAAGCCTTCCCAGAGAGCTGGCCTTGTCCCTTTGTTCTGCCCCTGAAGTACAGGATGGTCTTTGCAGGTTTTCGGAGCTGGCCCAAATGCTGATACACAGTACACAGGGGAAGGAGGACAGTCCCACAGGACAAAGGCAGGTGTCCTACGATGACGTCTCCGTGTTCGTGATCCCCTTGCATAGCAATGACCAAAGAGGCAGTGGCCGCTGAGAATTCAGACCCTGCGACCCAGAACCATTCCACAGCCAGGTGCAGTCTGGGCATCCCTCCACCGTGGCCAAGAGCAGACCTGTCTGCCCTGCCGTACCATAGCTCTGCATCCTTGCCTTCCACCCCAATTCATACTGATTTCAAGGGGAAATATTTATACCAGGTGTCAGGGCTGGCAGGGTACACAGAGCCCAGCCCACCAGGCTGCGCTTTTGCAGTAACACCCCTCTGGCCAGGGTACTTTACAACTTAGGAGAAACCCGTGCAAATCTCCTTAAAACAGGATTCTCCACAGCCCAAGGTAGGATTCTCAGATACGGAAGCCTGGATTCGGGTTATTAGCCTGAGATGCAAAGAGGGGCAGCCCATTTGGATTCAGGTCTCCATGCCACAAATACCAAGGCATCCATTCAACCCGAGGACCACACAGGGTGTCTTGGGGAAATCTTTGGGGACAATCTCTCATCTGCTGCGACAGCCATTGTGAAAGACAGCCCCTGAGACCAGCTCAGGTCCTGCCCTGCCATCCTCTGCCACCAGAGGCAGGGCAGAGGCACTGGGGACAGCAAATAGGGACGAGAGGAGTTCCCAGAGCTTGTTGGTAGGGGAGTGCAATCTGGTCACTTGACTGGCTGCTTGTCCCTGGCCCCAGCAGTCTGATGCCCAGCCATGCCTCTGCTTTGTTGCTCCCAATTATTAAATATTTGTACACAGAAGAGCCCTTGTGAGTGGTGAGTTGATGTACAGCTTGGATCAAGAACACCTTTGCCGTTTATTACCTTCCAGTGGGTTACTCTGAGGTCTACCTTGCAAGTGTGCACATGGTCAGGACTCGACTCCAGTCTCCCTGGTTCTTAGCTCTGATGAGCCCAAAGAATGGAAATGAGCTCTCTACTTATCATAGCTGCGTTTTCAATTGCTTAAGTATCTATAAAGCTTGATTTAATGGGAAACACATTAGTTGGGGCCCTATAGTCTGGCAGGTCTGTTCATCATCTCTGACTTCGAAGGCTCAGGTATCCAGGAAGCCTTCAAGACTTCAGTTTATCTGATTCTTCCCAGATGCAGCCCCTAGCTTAGTTTACAATTAAGGCAGTTCCCAGCCCTGGACTACAGCAGGGCAGAAGAGCCAATAGAGCACATGGTGAAACTTGTAGACTTAATTCCTCTGAGAGGCTCTCAGATGCCCCTTCTGGCCCATTAACTCATTTTCAATTTCACTTCCTATACATATCTCCAGGGAGATAAGGAAAAGTACATCAAACATTTCCTGGTTTTCATGAGGCTGGAATCCACAGTCCAGGACCTCTAGGCCTGAACGTGTCCCGACCTGGGCCCTGATGAATGGCACTTGAAGTTCGGGCCAGCCTCAGGACTCCTGCAGTCAGGCAGCAAATGCAGGAGTGCCGCCCCACCAGCTCGCAGTTTTACTTCCTCCTGCCTCAGCACAGCCAGCCCTGCTCCCCAGAAAGAGAAAGTGTGGGCAGCACCCTGCGCCTGCCTCTTACCCACGTCAGCTGTTGAGCCAGCCTAACGCCTGCTTTTCCTCCTCACACAATGCTGAAGCCAGGAGTAGGTGTAGTGGGTCTTTGAATTGCAAGCAGGCTAAAGAGAGCCGAAGTGGCTGCTGCAAGGGCATTCATGCTGATATTTTTTCAGGCCTCCCGGCAGGACCAAAACCTACAAACCACCCCTCACCCTCTAGGCCAGAAGGCAGTCTGTATCAAATGAGCCTATGCCTAGCCTACCATACCAAAGCCAGGATGTTCCCTCTGCTAAGTATGAGTCACTGGCCAACCTACAATGACCAAGGGCAGTTTTTCCTGGTTTAGTGAGGGCCGGAGAGGCAGGAAGTAGGTCCTGCAGTTCTGATGCTGAGCAAGAGCCATGGACTCAGTAACTACCAACTCTCACCAACGGCTTACCAAGCCATCGGCTAGCCTTTTTACCAGACCTGCAGGAGTGCAGGAGTCCCAAGTAAGAGGACTATCCTTGCCCTAAAGAAGGTAAGGCCTAGCAGGACAAAACTCACTCCAGTTAATTTGATCAAGGGTTGAGGTCAACAGGGCGAAACAGGCAGACCAAGGTATGTGCCCAGGTATAGATTTTGAAGATCAAGATAGTCTCAGGCTTGCCTTCCACTCATCACTTGTGGACCTACGGCTATTGATGACAGTCTGGGGTTATAAGCTGAGTCTAGGGCTTCCTCCTTCCGGCCCACTGGACTTAGTCATCATGATGCAGTCAGGGACAGTCCCTGGAACCCAGCAATCCATTCTCACAGCATTCCAGCCCCATATGAGACAGGAGAACTAATGGGAGACAAGCCACCCCAACCTCAACTCTGGGAACCAGGCACACAATGCTACAGAAACTCGATGGGAGAGGCTACAACCACAAAACTATTTAAGACTGGTAACATGGAAAAAAAATGTTTATATGTTAAGTACAAAAGGGACATAAAATTGTATGTACAGCAGATAACAACTATGTAAACACACAAAAATCTATGCACAGAAATATCTAGAGGAACATTTAACACCAAAAGATTAACATTGGTAGTATTTGGGAGGCAAAGTGATTCCCAAATTTTCCTTAATAAGCAATAATTACAATTGCAAGGGGGAATAATTTTTAAAAATACTCGACTGGCTGGTGGTTGAGTAGTGCAGTGTCGCTGTCACATACAAATCAATGCTTTGGCCCTGACTCTTAAAGAGGCTGGCAAGCAGCCCCTCCTTACCAAGGAAAGCTTGAGCACCTCGGACTCCCACTGAGAGCACCCCTACGGCCCCAGGCCTCAGCCCCTCTCCTCCCCTGTTACACCTTACCCAGCTTTATCTTTTCTGCACCTCCACGGCCCAGACACACTTTGAAGTTTGGACACACAGGAACTCCTACACAGTTGTTTTCCTCTGCTGGGTAAGTCGTGCTTGGTGGCTACTCTGGTGGCACACGTGGAAGTTATATGGCCTTTCTTGTCAACTCAGTTTCTCTGAACGGTTATTCCTAGCATGAATTTTCTACCCTGAAAAGCCACAGGTGGGCAGTCATCAGCTGAGATTATGTGGTTTCTCAAAGTCCCTCCCTCCACTCTGGGAAGGCAGAGCTACACAGTGGGTGGCACTGTGGCAGCTGCTGATTCCAGTCTACATTTAGGAAAGGTGTATGCCTCTTGCCCTTTCAGTCTAGGGAACAACTCAAAAAGTAATTGCTTTAAAAAAAAAAAAAAAGTGCTAGCAATTCACAGCCTATCCCCGCTGCTCAATAAAAGCAGAGATGGCTTTGTTTACCCCCTAGCAGCCAATAGTCCCTTGGGCAAGTCAGAGTCTTGTTGAATCTCAGTTTCTGGATCTACAGGAACTGCTGCCTACATACACATATTTGGTTGGAACAGTGAAAAAGCATACCTTGCTTCGCTCTAAGAAGGTCATGCAAGAAAAAAAAAAGGATAGGCTAGCTGCAGTTCATTTCAACTAGGGCCTAGCTAGAGCCCCTTGATCTCCCAAGAGAAAGCAAGGAAAAGCAGCAAGAAAACAGACATACAAATGGGAGTGACCTGCAACTGGCAAGGAAACGTCAGACAAACTGAAAATGCTCTGGTTCCAGCATCCTGTCCTCAGATGCCAAAAGCCAGACAAAGAAGCCGTGCAAGAGTGACTGTCACACACATACAGGTGCAGACAGAGCATCACCAGGCAAAAAGGGGGCTAATACTGCAGGGAGAGCCCCAAAGCGCGGCTTGAGGAACACTAGAGAATTGCCCCAAGACCCTCACTTAGCTGCCATGGAAACAACAAACACTAGAAGCTTTGCTTCATTCAGTCTCCCAAAAGGAAACAGGTAATAGGGAAGACTTACTAACACTTGTGGCAAACATTAGCAAGGACACAGTCTCTCCCAGGCTGCACAACTCCGTCTCCTTCGGCTGAACTCCGAGAAACTACAGATTTTATATATAATATATATATGCATGTATGTGCACAGATAGATTTAAATGAAGGTGCACACACTGTGCTAAAATACAAACAGAAGTCAAAGGTCATGTATAAAAAGGCTAAATATAACATATAACACAGGCCTAGAACCAGCTCTTGGTCGGGAGCTGGGGCAAGGGGTGGTCTCATCTGGAGACTATGTACACATTTGTGATGAGCAGGGAAGGCATCAGTGTAAACAACTCAGACTCACTCCACAATACTGGCCCACAGGAAAGCTGAAGTAGCTCGTGTACAAAAATAGACTACTACCTTGCTTTGTACAAACAGCTCAGTAGGCACCCAGGATGACTGTGGGTTCATCTTGATGGGGGACTACACCAAGCCACTGTTAAATCTTCCAGCCCTACCCCCTTCCCTCCCTTTCAGGATCTTGGGTCCTTTCCCACCCAACACCCAGAGCCTGAGGTCTCCCTAGACCACCCACCTTCACACTGCACAGCTTTCCAATCTGTCCCTTTCTCTGACCCCAAAATACATGAATTTCTTGTAGTCTGTACATGTTTGGCACCTAAGAAACATGATGGTTGTGGAATAATGCCACAATAACACAGGGAGACCCAGTAACAAGACATGCAGGGTGAGGTGAAGGGGCACTGAGCTGCCCTAGCATCTCAAAACCAGAACTGTGGTTTCCCATGCATTTGTGGGGGTGGGAGAAGGGATGTGCAGAATTGACGACTCCACCAGCTCCTCAGCAGCAAATACATTCACAATGGAAGGCGCCTCGAGAGCCCCCGATATCCTCATCATGGGTCTGCCACTCCTCTGGAGGAGCCTGGTGCAGTAACAGCTGGAAAAGCTGTGCCTCAAGGAGTCTGTTGCACCAAGAGTCCTTTTGAAGAACCTCAGCAAAGTAACTTCTTTCTTTTGAGCAGCTGTACAGCACATCCAGGGAAGGCCGTGTGAAGATGTTCTCCAGCCCAGTCCAATCATTCAATCCTACTCTTATCTCAGTCCTCTCTGAGTTTTTGTCCTGCTGGGTACCATCACTGTACAGAAATAGCCACACTGCATCAGGGTCAGTCATCAATGGTGGGCAACCAGAAAGCCTGCAAGGAGAACATAAGTCAACTTTAGAAAGCTCAGCAACTGCTCACTGCTGATGGTTCCCCATATCCCACCCCATAACATCCAAGTGCCCAGCCCCAGTGGTGGAGGACTCTACCGCCTGATGAAACCTCCTGACTACACAACCCTGATCATCTATGGTGAAAGAAACTCTCCCCTGCTTCTATTTACCTCTAACACCCAATACAGAGGTCAAAGGTCAGAAGGAAAAAGAGGAGTGCCACTAGGGAGATGTCCAGGGAAACTGGCCTCACTGCTGGTGTACCAGATGACCTCAGACAACCCTTCTCCCAAGTCAGAAAAAACAAGAGGTCGGATTGGATGGCTTTGTTGCATTTCTTCCGACATTACTTTCTTGGTAAAAAAAAAAGGTGGGGGGTGGGACAATGTGCTCTGTGTAGGCCTCATCCCCAAATACCCAGGTAGGTTTAAGAGATCCCAAGAAGAAACTAGAAGCTAAAACTCACTGATCCTTGTTCTGCTGGTAACATCTAGGAAGAGACAAGGGCCTTACTTAATTCTAAGTGGTGAGTTACAATTACTTGTAAGAACTGCTGACCAATTCAATATACACCAAGAGGAACGGAGAACTCAAAGTTTTTAGCCACAAAAGGCTAATTCATAATATGTGAAGGAGTACAACAGCTATCACACGTAGCACAGGTGGTTTAGGCATAAATGCAGAGTCCACTGCAAAAACTGGCATGCAATCTCCTGGCAACTTAGAGGTGATCCTAATCCTGAGAATAAAATGGAAAGGCCAGCCCAACGAGAAACCACAAAATGGGAGCTGAAACAGGGAAGCCCCCAGTTGAGAAGTAAACTTGGGTGCTAGTAATGAAGCTATGTAGAACACAGCTTTCTGCTCCTGTTGAGGCAGCCACCACCCAGCTAGAAAGAGTTCCTTAGTGGAAGACACCTGTCATTCACATACCATGTTGGAACATGCGCTGGCAAAGGTCATGAACTTGGGGTTGAACTGCAAACAGGTGATGGGGCCTGTGTGTTTACCATCCAACACAGCAACTTTTATACCACTTTCTCCATTCCAAACATGGATCTTGCCATCCTCTGAACCTAAAGAGAATGACCAAAGAAAAATTTAATAAGAGCTCAAGGCCTAACAAATAGAAAGATAACTTGGAAAGAGATGTTTGAGGTCTGGAGAGGCCAAGGACCAAGCCCTCAGCAGAAATTGAGAGGGAGAAAAGACAGTGAAGGTAAAGTATTTTGAGAATTGATCTTGACCCTGGTTATTTGTGAGCAAGTCACTTTTGCTCTCACTTTCATTTTCTCACCCAGAAAGGGGGTGGGAAGAATAGGCATTGTGGCCAAAACTAGTTAAGCTGCTGCTCGGGACACTGGCAGCCTGTACTGGCATGCTGGTTCTACTCTACTTCCGATCTAGTTTGCTGTTAATGTGCCTGGGAGTCAGCAGATGATGGCTCAGGTGCTTGGGTCCCGGCCACCCCCTGGCTTCAGCCTAGCCCAGCACTGGCTACTGTGGGCATTGGGCTTTCAGTTGCTCTGCCTTTCAAGTAGATGAAAATCAATAAACAAGCATTTTTTAGAAAATTGAAATTATATACAAAGGGGGTGAATGCCATGACCGTACCTACTAAGATAACTGAATGCAGGGTTATATCAGGAATTCAGTATTACTAATAAGGTAGTGCTTATATAGCTGGTCCAGGGAAAACCAAAACTAATGCCAATTCCAATAAAGAACCCAAAAATCAGAATGGTATAAAGATGCTATATTCTTGGCATAATGTTCTATATAGAAATCTGAAAAGATCTATTAAACAGATAAAAGGCAGCTCACCAATCATAATAAACTGAGAGTCAGGAGTAAATGAAGCCTCCAGCGTGACAGCTTTGCTGTTGGCATAACCCTAAAACAAAACAGAGCAGTTATCTTAATAAAAAGATTTACCTAGGGGCTGGCGCTGTGGCTCACTTGGTTAGTCCTCCGCCTGCAGCGATGGCATCCCATATGGGCACCGGGTTCTAGTCCCGGCTGCTCCTCTTCCAGTCCAGCTCTCTGCTGTGGCCTGGGAGGGCAGTGGAGGATGGCTCGAGTGCCTGGGCCCTGCACCCGCATGGGAGACCAGGAAGAGGCACCCGGCTCCTGGCTTTGGATCGGCGCAGTGCGCCGGCCATGGCAGCCATTTGGGAGTGAACCAACGAAGGGAAGACCTTTCTCTCTGTCTCTCTTTCTCACTGTCTATAACTTCACCTGTCAAATAAATTAAAAAAAAAAAAAAAATTTACCTAGAAACGCAGATGGAGTATATGCATCACGTTCCTTTCCACGAAACTCTCTTCTTGTCTGCACAATGCCAACGTTCCAAACATGGCTGCTACCCTTTACAATCTAACCACTATCCCCAATTCCAGTCAAGGAAGCAAGAAAAGTCTGTTATTAGACATTAACTTATATCTGAATTCCAAATCTGGGTCACTTGGTAAGAAGTGGAGGTCTCAGAATCCAAAGGGAATAAGCTAATGTGCAGGAAGAAAATGCAAGCCCAGGCCATGGTAACTGGGTAATTGCTGATCTCCACAACTAGCTAACACAACTCTCAGCCCTAGAGGTAAGAGCAGAGAAACAGCCATCTTTAAAGGCTATAAGCTCACCCCAAATGTGTGCATCACCACTCCCTTGAATGCATCAATGAGACGGATGAAGCTGCCATTGGTGGAGATAAGAATGAGCTTGCCATCATTGCTGAACTTAAGTCCTGTCCATTCACAAGTCCGATCGTACTGCATCTTAAAGGTTGCAAATGGCCCCTGCAAAATAGAGATACAGCTCCAGACCCAAGGTACATAAATAACTCCTTCTTCCAGAACCAACTCCTATCCCTTTAGGTTCCTTTCTGACTAGGAAAGCAGAGGATGAAACACTGCTCTGCCACTCTCTAATAAGCGACCACAGATTTCTACCATAGAAAAAGGCTCTTAAAATTCTCAGCTCATCCTCCAAACTCAAAGCTTCAAAGGTTTACCTTATCAAAAGAGCGAAGATCATAAAGTTTAACCATTTCAGAGTTGACACCTGCAGCAAAAATCAACCCTTCTGGGTCAAAAGAACAAACTGGTTTGCCCTGTAGATGCATCAGACCCTAAGAGAAAATAAAACAGTTAATAAATATTGTCACTATACAATTTACTTTTCCCAGTAAAAACTATGAAAAGGATATGAACAGATACCAGCCTAGCTACTGAACAAAACATTAAAAAATAACTAAAATGAAACTAAAACAAAACAAAACAAAACCCAAGTTGCCAAGCAGATTTCCAGTCAATCCTAACTACACAATATTACAGTTCAAAGACAAATCTCCTGAGGCTAAAAGTTGAAGCTCAAAGGCTCTAGGAAAACTCTCTTTTAAAAACTAAGCC